TGCCTAGACAGATGTGAGCAGTTCGCACAAAATAAGAGGTAGATTAGTAAGATGCAAAAAAAACAGCTAGAAATATTAAAAGCCGAGCGAAGCCGGGTAGTAGTTGGAAATATGCTTGCTAAAAATAAATTCATAAGATACGTAGGTCCAAGGATATAGATGCACAAAAATCAAGATAGAGTAGACAAAGAGAGGCGAAATCAAAAACTGTTAAAATTGAACTTTCGTTTGTTGCCCTATCCTGATATTACATACTACTCCATAAAATAGAAAGTCACCTGGACCTTGATCTTCTTGGAGATGGAGAGCGGAATTTTCGTGGAGATCTGTCATCTTTCTTAGGAGATAGGTTAATAGGCGATTTTGATCTGAACGAGGGGGGTCACCAACAACTATGAATAACTGGACAGTTTTTTCAACTCCGATACTGCTTTTTTAATGATCTAAGGGGAATTCTAACAAACGCGATCGAACGAAAAGAAAAGCACCACTTGACCAGGCAGTACCAAACGATACAAATTACCACGACTCCTACCTTTGCCGATTACGATTTCTTTCAGGAGACATGGAAGTAGATTTAGGCGAAGCATCTCGTGATCCAGCACTAAATAAAAAAGTAATGAAAAAACACAAGGAAAGAGACGGATACTGAAGCATAGAACTTACTGCTTGCGATAGCGGAAAGGAACACTTCGATTGCTACTCTCTGAGCGAGAACGTTTTTCGCTCTCATCAGAAGAAGAGCTTGACTCAGCCACGCTTGATGGCATTCTGAAACCATGACTTCTATGAAACCATGAATGATCAGGAAGCGAAACAGAAAATGTGAAAAACTACGAGATAAAGACATATGAAGAAAAAAAAGCAGTAGACCCATAGATACAATGATAAGTCAGATACGATAGTCGCAGCTTTAGTACGGAAAAACAACACATAAACAGAAAGAACATAAATTTACATAGCAAAAGATATTCTATATATAACCCACGGAAGATCGCGCTAAAATTTAAAGGTGACGCTAAGATTAGCTTTAGAGCGCGGTTGTCATTTTCTGGTTCGTCCTTCTCACCTACGAAAGAACCAGGAATTTGACACGGTTTAGAATTATTAGGGAAATGCAGTATTCAGAGTTTTACATCGAAGTACTAATTAAGCTAGTTACAGTAATAAAGCGGATACCCGGATATTGTATGAGATCAGCAGGAAGGACAGGAACCTTGCGTTTA